GCCCCCGGGGCCCCCGGGGCCCCCGGGGCCGCCCGGGGGGGGCCCCGGCCCGCGCGCCCGGGAGCCCGCGGGCGACAAGGGAGACGCACTTCGCGGCCGGCGCGAGGGACCTGCGGACCGAGCCGGAGACAGAAACGACACACTTCCAGACGCCCTTGGAGACAGAGTTGGAGACAGAGTTCGAGACAGAGTTGGAGACAGAAATGACAGGGCCGCGGACCAGCGCCTGTGCGTCCTCAAGGTCTGCGACTTCGGCAGCGCCGCGGACTTCGCCGAAAACACCCCCACCGCCTACCTCGTCTCCCGCTTCTACAGGGCCCCCGAGATCATCATCGGGGCCAAGTACGGGCCCCAAATCGACGTTTGGGCGGCGGCAGCCACGCTCTACGAGCTGGCCACTGGCCAGGTTCTTTTCCAGGTCCTTTTCCCTTTTTTGCGCTTTTTTCTTTTTTGCGCTTTTCCCTTTTCTGCGCTTTTCCCTTTTCTGCGCGTTTCCCTTTTCTGCGCTTTTTTCTTTTTTGCGCTTTTCCCTTTTTTGCGCTTTTCCCTTTTCTGCGCTTTTCCCTTTTCTGCGCTTTTCCCTTTTCTGCGCTTTTCCCTTTTCTGCGCTTTTCCCTTTTTTGCGCTTTCCGGGGTGTTGGGGGCTTATTCGCTCTTTTGGGGTTTCGCGCCTCCGTTCTGCTCCGGGACTTCGCAGCTTCTTTTCCACCCTTCGTGGAGCGCTTTGGGTTTGGGGTTTGGGGTTTGGGGTTTGGGGTTTGGGGTTTTGCTTTTCGCCTTTGCTTCTTTGGAGTTTTCGCTGCGGGTTTGTTTGCTCCGGCATTCGTGGAGGTTCGCTGCAGCGCTTCGCTTTCGCTCTTCTCGGGTTTTGTCTTGACACCTTTGATCGTTTATTTCGACTTCTGAGTGCATACATTTCAAGTTTTATTTCGACACTTTTCAAGTTTAAGCGGATTTATTTAAAGTGTACTTGCTGCTGCTGCTGCAGCAGCAGCGGCAGCCGCTTCTCCCGTTGCTGCGCCAGCAGCAGCCCCAGCCCCCCACCACGTCCCCCTCACCCGCCGTCGTCGCTGCTGCTGCTGCTGCTGCTGCTGCTGCTGCTGCTGCTGCTGCTGCTGCTGCAGGGGCGGACGAACAACGACATGCTGCGGTGCATCATGGAGTACAGGGGCAAGCTGCCGAACAAACTGATAAGGGCCGGGCAGCTGGCGCACCTGCACTTCAACCAGGACTTGGAGTTCGTTTTCAAAGACAAAGATCCTTTTTCGAAACGCGAAGTTCCGAAAGTCCTGAGGGACCTGCGCCCCTGCAGGAGCGTGACGGAGGCGCTGCTGGAGAGGCAGCCCTGCTGGCTCAAAGGTCGCGCTGCTGCTGCTGCTGCTGCGGGTTGCGCTGCTGCTGCTGCTGCGGGTTGCGCTGCTGCTGCTGCTGCGGGTTGCGCTGCTGCTGCTGCTGCGGTCGCGCCGCTGCAGCTGCCGCCGTTCCGCTGCGGCTCCCCGCTGCGCTGCTGCTGCTCCCGCCGTTCTGCGGCCCGCGCTGCTGCGCTGCTGCTCCTCGGCTGCTGCTGCGGCGGAGGCCGCTTGTCCATGCTGCTGCTGCTGCTGCTGCTGCTGCTGCGCAGGGAACAGCCCGAAGGCGAACTTCGTGCGGAAGAAGCTGAAGCAGTTTGGGGACTTGATTGAAAAGTGTTTAATTTTGGACCCCCAAAAGAGACTCACTCCCGACGAGGCGCTGCAGCACCCCTTCGTCAAGGAGACCATTCACTTCGTAGACGCGGGACCCAGGGCCTAGCAGCAGCAGCAGCAGCAGCAGCAGCAGCAGCGGCAGCAGCAGCAAGGCTGCTGGTGCTGGTGGTGGCTTGCTGCGGCTCGTGCTGCTGCGGAAGAAGAACGGCAACAACAGCAGCAGCTGTAGCAACAGCTATAGCAGCAGCAGCTGCTGCTGCAGCAGCAGCAGCAGCAGCAGAAGTTTAGGGAGAAGGAGGTTGTTGAGGGGGGGTTGGAGGCGAAAGGCCCGTTGTGAGGAGACAGCAAAGAGACAAAAGGAGACAGTTTCTTTCTTGCATTTGAGCTGCTGCTGCAGTCATTTATTTCTTTTATTTCATCATTTGTTATTTGCTGCCATTGCTGTGTACAGGCTGCTGCTGCTGCTGTGCTGCTGGGGTGTATGTACACCGCAGCCCCGAACGCTGATTTAGGGTTTGGGGCCGCCCGGCCTCACCTGCAGCCCTAGCCTTTGCAAACCCTAAATTGGGGTTTCCGTGCCACGCCCGCGATTGCCCACCCCGCGCGGCCAAACCCTTTTTTAGGGTTTAGGGTTTGGGGTTTCCGCGGGAGCACAGAGCTGCCCAGGGCCCCCTTGTCGCTGCAACGTAAGTGCAACGGAGCCTGCTGCTGCTGCCGCAAGCAGCAGCAGCAGCAGCAAGTGCCTCCTGCTGCTGCTGCTGCAGCTGCTGCTGCAGCTGCCGCGCTCTCGCGCTGCCGCGCCGCTGCGCCGCGGCGCTGCCGCGCAGCCAGCGGGGACTGCTGCTGCTGCTGCTGCTGCTGCAGCTGCTGCTGCTGCTGCTGCTGCAGCAGAGTCCCCAAACCCTCGTTTTAAACCCTAAAAAAATAATTAAAAACTAATTGTGTTTTTTTTTGCTCTTTAGAGCACCAGGCCCTTAGCCGAGGGAGACAAGGAGACCCCCAATTGCCCCTCAAGGTTCGTTCTTCTTTTTTTGTTTCTTTTTTCTTTTCTTGCTTCCTTTTTGCTCCTCTTTTCTCTCTTTCGCCTCTTTTTTGTCTCTTTTTTGTCTCCTTTGTGTTTCTTTTGTCTCCTTTTACTTACATGTTTGTTTGTCTCCTTTTTGTTTCTTTTTTGTCTCTTCTTTCGCCTTTTTGTCTTTTCTAGATCTCTTTTTGTTTCTTTTTTGTCTCCTTTTATTCTTTTTCCCTTTTATTTGTTTTTTGTCTCTTTGATTTTGTCTCCTTTTTGTTCTTTAATTTGTCTTTTTATTTATTTCATTTGTCTCCTTTTATTATCTCTGTATTATCCCTTTTTGTCTCTTTTTATATCTCCTTTTGTCTCTTTTTATTTTTTTAATTTATTTATTTTGTCTCTTTATTTGTTTTTCTTTATTTCTTTTTGTTGTCTCGTTTGATTATTTATTTTCAATTATTTATTTTTAATTATTTATTTTCGCTTTTTATTTTTTGTTTATTTTGTCTTTTTATTTCCTTTTTGCCGTTTCATTTCGTTTGTCTCCTTTTGATTCTTCTTTATTTATTTTAACTCAATTTATTTTTGTTTCTTTTAATGTATTTTCATTTCCTTCACTTTAATTTTATTTCTTTTAATTATTTCGTTATTCTTTCATTTGTTACTAATTATTATTTATTTATTTATTTCAGATTTAACAATTTCTTTTTTATTTTTTACTTTTTTAATTCTCTTGTAACTCTTAAAAGGCTTTAGTTTAAACTTTTCGCTTTTATTTTATTTTAGTTTTTATTTTTATTTTAAATTTTTTATTTTTTAAACTTGCAGTTAATTCATTTCTTCATTTTGTGGCATTATTACTACAACTTGCTTTTTCTTTATTTCTTCATTATTCCAATTATACATTCTGTTGTTCCTTTCTCTTTATTATTTATTATTAATTTATTTATTTATTATTTGTTCATTTATTTTATTATTTATTTGTTTGTTTGTTCTTTTGTTTGTTTGTTTATTATTTCCTTGTTCAAGTGTGTGTCTATTTGTGTATTTATTCCTGGTTTATTTATTATTTATTGTTGATTATTTATTTATTTATTCTTATTTGTTTTCGTTATTTAATTTTTAATTATTGAATGATTTAATTTATTTGCTTAATTTAATTAATTAATTATTTAATTATTCATATCTAATTTTTAATCAGTGCCAACAAACCCTAAACCCTAAACCCTTCATATGTGTTTCCCTTTCTCTAATGTCTTTTTCTCCTTTCCATTTTTTATTATTTTTATTTATTTATTTTATTTATTTGTTTTATTATTTTATTTATTTATTTATAATTGTTTTTTATTTGTTGAATTTTGCAGGCTGCCCTCTTCGGTTTCCGCTGTATCCTGAGTAACTCGCCCCTAGGGTTTAGGGTTTAGGGTTTAGGGTTTAGGGTTAGTGGCTGCAGCAGGTGTGGCTGTTGTTGATTCCCTATTTAGCTGTTTCTTTCGTTTCTTTCTTCCTTTTGAACTTTAGACAAGTACATTATAAAGAATTTAAAAAGAAAAGAAATTAAAATAAATTAAATTAAAATTAAATTAAATTAAATAATTAAAATCCTTCAAACTTTCCATTTTCTTGCATGCGTTTTTAGTTTCTTTTTTGGAAAATCTTATCGGGACAAACATATCCATTTTGCATTTCTTCTATTTAATTTATTCATTTGATATATTTGTTGTATTTTATTTATTTATTTTATTTGTTTATTTTATTCATTTTATTTTACTTATTCTATTTTATTTATTTCATTTTGTGCGTAATATGCAAACAAGATAAAATGAAGATTCCATTTTTCGTTTTTAGTGTATTTGAATGACATTTTATTACTTTACCCTTTAATAATGTGCATTATATATTATTGTATATATAATATGCATTATTAAAGAATAAAATAAATAAATTATAAATGAAGTATCTTTTTGTTTCTTGTTTGCTTCTACATATCGTTAATCAATATCTTCTGTTTTCGATTGCTGTATATGTATGTATATATATGTATATTTATATGTTTTTATATATATATTGATATATGTATTGATATATATATAAATATATATATTTATATATATATATATATTTATTTATTTCATTTATTTTTTTGTATTTTAACAATTAAATGGACAAAATACATGATTTATCCCCTTCCATATATATATCATATATATATTTTACATATAAAGCTTTATAATATTTGTATAGAGAGATATGTATTACAATAAAGTAGACAAAATATCTTTCTCGCATTTGATGATATTATAAATACAAATAGAGACAAATCAATAAATTGTTTATTGAAAAGTAATTTAAAAACAAATGAAATACCTTTTTATATTTAAAGGCTAAAAAGGTAAAATGGAAAAATAGAAAAAAGAATATTGAATATATCTGTATGCGCAGGTGTACATGCACCACAGTGCACAAGCGGGAAATTCGTTTTTTGTTATTTCAAAGTTTTTATTATTTTCAATTAAATAAAGAAGATATAAAATCCGTTTTTATTCTTTTTGCCGTTTTGCAAAAGCAAACAAAATCCAGAAAATGGATTTGTTGCTTTTCTTTGCTTTTCCGAACAAAACACAAAACTTCAAAATCGACACATATATTTATTTTTTACCTTTTATTTGTATATTTATTCATTCATTATTTATCTAATTACTATTATTATTCGTTATTTATTGTTATTCTCACTATTATTTAATTCAATTTCTCTCAATTTCCGCTCCCGGGCAGTCTCGCGTTTGTCTTTTTTCTTTCACGATTTGGTTTTATTTCTTTTATTTCGTTTTACTTATTTATTTATTTATTTATTTATTTGTTTATTTATTTATTTACTTATTTTGATTTATTTCTTCAATTTTCTTTTATTTTTAGAAAGAGTTCCGAACGCGGCTGAAAGCGGTCCCCTGACTCATTTTGGCGCGAAATAAGTGGAGGGTTTTTTCATTTCGGAGTCGAATTTCTTCGCGAAAAGTCCCAAAATGGGAAAATTAGATAAAATGGTTAAATTATTTGTTAATTGGCGTTTATTTAGCGACTTTTTAGACTCAAAAATGGCCTTTTTAGTCCCAAGTTCCTCCAAATTGAATTCAGAGTCGCGCGTTGGCGAAATCGCAAAAAGACTCGACGGCGCCGCGGCGCCGTCGGGTGTACGTACACCGGGGGCTGTACGTACACCCGGGGGCGCGGCGCTGGCTGAAATCTCGTTTAAATTGAATTATTTGAATTCAAAAGAATTAATTTCGTAAAATTTGAGAGAAATAGTTTTTAAAAAGCTCCAAAAAGCAGCAGAGGACCCCGGGGCGCTGCGCTGCTGCTTCGAGCCGCTGGGCGGCGGCCGAGCGCCGCTGCCGATGCCCGCCCCCAACTGAGGCCTAAATGCCCCGTTTTTTCGCGTTTAAAGAGTTAAAATGCAATTAAAATCGAAAATAAATGCATTTATTCGGTTAAATTGGGAAAAACGCGTGAAAACGAGCCGTGGGGAGGCCCGGGCGACGCAGCGGTCCGGTTTACAGCGGGCAGCAGCCGCAGCAGCAAGCCGCTGCTGCTGCTGCTGTGTGGCTGGCAGCAGCAGCAGCAGCAGCAGGAACAATTAAATTGGTTTTAAGTTTCTTCAACTGTTCCGTTTTATTTTTTGGATTTCAAACTCCTTTCAAACCCTTTTCCCCCTCTAAACCCTAAAATGAAACCCCAATCGGAGTGGGCGGCGGCGGCGCCCGATAAAGGTGCGCTCTTGGAGTTATTTTCTTTTTTTCTCTTTCCCTCTTTTCAATTAACTCGAGGGTTTAGAGTTCAGGGTTTAGGGTTAAGGGTTTACGCCTGCTCAGTCCCACTCAGGGGGGAGAAAGCGCAGCCAGCGTGTGCCAGCAGCCAGCAGCATCGACCGAGGGTTTAGGGTTTAGGGTTTGGAGTTGGGCAGCTTCACACGCCTACAGCTCGGCCCCAAACCCTAGGGCCTGAGAGGGTTAGGGGTTGAGGGGGAAGGGACGAGGGTTTGGGTCCGGATCTAGGGTTTAGGGTTTAGGGTTTAGGGTTTAGGGTCTAGGGTTTAGGGTGTGTGTGTGTGGGCTTTCCGCGGTGTCTGTACACCTCTGTACCGGATTTTTCGCGTTTCTCTCAGGCGCATTCTTCAACTTTTAATTTATTTCAATTTTGATTTATTTATTTATTTATTTATTTATATATTTATTTATTTGTGTTATTTATTCTTTCAGACAGAACCCGAAGAGATCCAACTCTGCAGTCTTTTCCCACTTCCGCCGTCAACGGCCCCGAGCTGCAATATGCAGGAACTGCAGTTGTGAAGGAAGTTATTAAATCAACTGAAGAAGTTGTCAAGGAAATGAGGACTTGGCTCAAGTGCAAACCCTAAACCCTAAACCCTAAACCCTAAACCCTAAACCCTAAACCCTAAACCCTAAACCCTAGGCCGGGGTTTGGGCCTTAGAGCGGTGCGCGCACTGGAGTTGTGAAGGAAGTTATTAAATCAACTGAAGAAGTTGTCAAGGAAATGAGGACTTGGCTCAAGTGCAAACCCTAAACCCTAAACCCTAAACCCTAAACCCTAAACCCTAAACCCTAGGCCGGGGTTTGGGCCTTAGAGCGGTGCGCGCACTGGAGTTGTGAAGGAAGTTATCAAATCAACTGAAGAAGTTGTCAAAGAAATGAGGACTTGGCTCAAGTGCAAACCCTAAACCCTAAACCCTAAGCCCTAAACCCTAAACCCTAAACCCTAGGCCGGGGTTTGGGCCTTAGAGCGGTGCGCGCACTGGAGTTGTGAAGGAAGTTATTAAGTCAACTGAAGAAGTTGTCAAAGAAATGAGGACTTGGCTCAAGTGCAAACCCTAAACCCTAAACCCTAAGCCCTAAACCCTAAACCCTAAACCCTAGGCCGGGGTTTGGGCCTTAGAGCGGTGCGCGCACTGGAGTTGTGAAGGAAGTTATTAAATCAACTGAAGAAGTTGTCAAAGAAATGAGGACTTGGCTCAAGTGCAAACCCTAAACCCTAAACCCTAAATCCTAAACTCGAGTTCTAGTCCTTACTAAATAAGAAACCCTAATTAGAGCATCATCACTAAAACCTAAACCGTAAACCCTAGGCCCTAAATGCTACACTCTAAATCTCACTAAGCAGTAAACCCTAAAGTCTAAAGCTCCAACCCTAAGGGGTAAACCCTAAACCCTAAACCCTAAACCCTAAACCCTAAATGGAGGTTTGTGGAATTAGGGAAGACACTTATTTGAGTTTCCTAACTCTGCACTGTCTGTACACCTCAGGACAGGTATTGCCCCTGATGGGACCCGCATGATGACTGATGAGGCCTCGCAGTGGTGAGTGCTGTTGCTGCTGCTGCTGCTGCTGCTTTTGCTTGTGCTGCTGTTGCTGCTGTTGCTGCTGCTGCTGCTGCTGCTTCTTGGTGCTGCTGCTGCCGCTCTGCTCCTGCTTCTGCTTCTGTCGCTGCTGATGCTGCTGCTGCTGCTGCCGCTTTTGCTGCTGCTGCTGCTGTTTCTGCTGCTGCTGCTGCCCCTGCTGCTGTTTCTGCTGCCGCTGCAGCAAGAATGCACCAGAAACTGTGCATCGACAGCAACAGACTTAACCCAACCTCCCCCCTCCCCCGCTGCCGCCGCTGCTGCTGCTGCTGCTGCCGCTGCTGCTGCTGCTGCTGCTGCTGCTGCTCTGCAGGTACCAGGACTTCTACCAGGCGACGCTGCGCGCGGACAAAGAACACGAGTGTCTCCCCGAAGGGTCTCTGGTGGATTACTATTATTGGAAGTGTCCCTTTTTGGCGCACATAGGCCCCCTGGACTTGGTCATGATGCACTCCCAGGCGCGCAAACCCTAAACCCTAAACCCTAAACCCTAAGCCCTGCACGCCCGCCCGCGGCGACGCCGCTAACTCCAGGAACGCTCCCGCGGTTTGGAGGGAACAAAGGGTCTAGGGTTTCCCAGGGTTTGCGAGGGTTTGCGAGGGTTTGCTAGGGTTTAGGGTTTAGGGTTTAGGGTTTAGGGTTTGCGAGTGCAGGTGAATCTGCGCGACGGGACGCACCTGCCGTGCGACCGGCTGCGGGAAGCCACGAAGAATTTGAAAACCCTCGAGGGTTTGGCGAGGAAAAGAATGGAAATAGAAAGGAGACAAAAGGAGACACTTTTAGCAGCAGCACTGCAGCAGCACAGGGGCCACCCGCTGCGGAAGGAGGGTTTCTACACGCGCTACTTCTGGAGGCCCTTTCACCAGCACACCATTCAGCAGCAGCAGCAGCAGCTGCAGCAGCAGCAGCAGCAGCAGTTCGACCAGCAGCCAGAACGGATCCCCACCGTCGTCAGGGAGGCCGAGGAACACTCCGCAGAACTCGCCTAACTCGCCGCTGCTGCTGCTGCTGCAGTTGCTGCTGCTGCTGCTGCTGCAGCAGAAGCTGCTGCTGCTGCTGCTGCTGCTGCAGCAGGTTGCAGGCTCTCCTGAAGTGCATTTGCATGTGGATGTGCTTGCTTGCAATTTGCATTTGTTTGCAAATAAATGTTTTCTTGCAAAAGTGGATTTCATTTAAAATGCAATTGAAGCGCATGCATACAGTCCGCAGCTGTCTGTACACTCCAACCCAACAGGTAAAGAGACACTCGAGCGCAGCAAAGACGCTTGAGCTTTTTTTGTGGTTTTCCCTTCAATTCGTTACCCCCCAAACCCTAAACCCTAAGCTCTAAATCTTAAACCCTGAAACGAGGCTTGATACGCCCTTTTGGGAGGGACTGCTATTAGAGAAATTCGAGGAACTAGGAATTAGGGTTTAGGGTTTAGCGAGGGTTTAGGGTTTAGAACTGCTGCGGACCAGCTCTCGACGAGCAGCCCTAGGGTCTCCTTCTAGGGCCTAGGGTTTAGGGTTTAGGGTTTAGATCTTATTCCAGAAAGGGCTCAAGAACATGAATCGGCTTCTGCATGCACTCCAGAAGCTTCTCTGAATTTACTTTCAAAATAAAAGTGAAATTTCATATTTGGGAGTTGAGGGCGCTGAGGTGTATGTACACCTCACGCCGCAGCTTGAGAGAAAGGGGCTTCAAAAACTCCATTTCTCATTTTCTCCGAATTGAAATTATAGTTTTAAGTAAAAGATTTTAAAAAGGAATGCAAAGACAGGCGCTAGCTGGGGCGTGCACAAGGCGTTGAGGTGTACAGACACCTCAGGCGCCGCGCAGCTGCTGCGGCGTCACTTCGGAAAACGGCAGAAAATGAATTCATTTAATTCTAATACTGTTTTTTTATATTTTTTAATAATTATTTTCATATTTAGAAACAGAAGACTTCTCCGGGGGCCCCTGGACTCACCAGGGAGGCCCTGTGGGCTGTGTTGCCTTCTGCTCCGATTCAAGTTGAACTGGCCTTATCTTCGGATTTTTGTCGCTCTTTTTTCAATTTTTTTCCGATTTAAAGAATTATTTCAACTTTATTTCCACTTTGGACGGACGTTTCCCCCGAAACTCGCCAGTTACTGCGGTATCCCACCCACCATGTCAGCGGCAGCAGCCGCAGGCGATTCTGCTGCTGCTGCTGCCTCAGCGGGGCCCCTAGGCGGCGCTGCACAAAATCCCCTAGCCATTTGCGCCCCCCTTTCAGAGCTTTTGGAGAAGAATCCCGCAGGAGGGGCCCCAGGCAGCAGATCGCAGCAGCAGCAGCAGCAGCAGCAGCCGCAGCAGCAGCAGCAGCAGCAGCGACAGCAGCAGAAACGCAAAGAGCCGCAGCTGCTGCGCTGCCCTGTCGACGGCTGCTCACAAACCTTTCGAAAGAAGGCGCGGCTCGAAAGACACCAGCAGTCCCACTCCGACGAGGTGAGACAGCAGCAGCAGCAGCAGCAGCAACAGTATTAGTAGGAGTCGGAGTAGTTGCAGGAGTAGTGGCAGCAATTGCAGGATTAGTTGTAGTGGCGGCAGCAGCAGGAGCAGCAGTAGTGGTGATAGCAGCAGCAGCAGGAGCAGCAGTAGTGGTGATAGCAGCAGCAGCAGTCGCAACAGCAGCAGCAGCAGCTGAAGTAGTAATAGCAGGAGCAGTAGTAATGTTAGCAGCAGCAGCAGCAGCAGCAGTTGTAGTGGCAGCAGCATAGCATCATTTCTGGCATCAGAACTAAGCAGCAGCAAGTCTAGCAACGGCAGAAGCAGCAGCTGCGAGCCCCGCAGCAGCAGCAGCAGCAGCAGCAGCGTCCGTGGAGTGTCTGTACAGGGTGGGTGTGGGGCGTGGGGTGTACGTACAGCGGCAGTTCAAATGCGAGTTGTGCAAAAGTGCATTTAAAAGAAAAGAACATTTGCAGCGCCACTTGGTGCTGCGCCACCGGCCAAACAAGTCCCAAGAACTGCAGCAGCAGCAGCAGCAGCAGCAGCAGCAGCAGGAGGGGGCTGCAGAGGGGCCTGCTGCTGCTGCTGCAGCCGCAGCAGCAGCAACTGCTGCAGCAGCAGAGACGTACGCGTGCGAGCACTGCAGCAAAACGTTCGTCCTTAAGTACCATCTGCGGAGACACCTCAAGACTCATATGCTCCTTTATAAATGCCGTGGGCTGCTGCTGCTGCTGCTGTTGCTGCTGTTGCTGCTGCTGCTGCTGTACATATGCCTGGGTGCCTCTCGCCGTTGCTCGTCTGCTGCTGCTGTCCATCACTGGAGCATGAGTCCCGAGAGGGGGAAAAGGGAGAGGAAAAAGAAGAAAAGGACTTCAAAAAAGGAAAAAAAGAATTAAATGAATTAATTTGTCCTCATGAAGGCTGCGGGAAAGTCTTCACCAGTTTGAACCAGCTGTACAGACACCTCAAGCGCGCAGCGCAAAGTCAGGCTGGAAATAAATAAATAAATAAATAATAAATATTAAATAAATGAATAAATAAATAATAAACGATTAAATAAATAACAAATAAATGAATAAACATAAATAATATTCATTAAATGGAAGCCAAGAGGTAATAATGCTGAACAGACTGCATGCACGCGGTGTATCTACACAATAGCACGCATGCATTTTTGCATTTCTTCTTTTATAAATGCAACGTTTGTTTATTTTAAATAATAATTCTTTTTTATGATTCTTTCTCTATAAATGCAAAGTTTATTTCATTTTAAATAATGATTAATTCTTTTTTATGATTCTTTTCTTACAAATGCAGAGTTTGTTTTGTTTTAAATAATAATTCTTTTTTATGAGTCTATTGAGCTGAAGGGCATAAAGGGAAATAATTGAATATCCTTTTCCTGACCCTAAACCCTAAACCCTAAACCCAAAGCAGCAGCACCAGGCACTGCTGCTGCTGCTGCTGCTGCTGCAGCTGCTGCTGCAGCAGCATGCGTTAGGCAGCTCGAATTGCTGCTAGAAGAATGCCGTTTTGAAGGGTTTTTGTCGTTTATTTTGTTTTAATTTGTGGATTTGTTTGTTTGTTTTTTAATTAAGGAAAAAGAGATTATAAATGCCCTTTTTGCGGAATTCAATTTCCCGTTTTCTCGGCGCTCGTGGCGCACAAGCGGTCTGTACACTCCAACAAAGTGCACCAGTGCGACCAGTGCGGAAAGGTATTTTTTATTTTTAATTTATTTTTAATTTTTCCCAATTATTGTCATTTATTTTGAATTATTATTCTTTATTTTGACTTATTGTTCATTTTAATTTATTATTCTTTATTTTCATTTATTATCCTTTAATTAATCATTTTATTTCCCGCAGGCTGCATTTTCCAATTCGAGTGTATGTACACTTCAACTCCCAAGTCACTTGGGATCTTTTTGAGATTCCTTTCTTGTTTTTACTTGAATTATTTATTCATAATTAAACGCAATTTAATTTAATTTAATTTAATTTAATTTGTTTTAATTTAATTAAATTAAATTTAATTTATTTGTTTTATTTTCAAATCGCAAACTGGCCCGCGGGGTCTATGTACAGGCCTACTCCCGCCCAGACCGCCTCAGAGCCCACATACGGGTAAACCCTAAACCCTAAACCCTAAACCCTAAACAGAGTAACAGTTACAGTAAAGTGGATTAAACTAAAATGAATTAAATCGAGGAGATTAAAACAAAAGAAAAAAACAAAATAATCAATTAAAAGTATCAACAAAAGAACAGCAGCAGAATAAAACAAAAAACCCATAAAAAACCTAATTAAAAAGTATTGAACAAAAGAATAAACCAAAGGAACTATATAAAAACAAACAAATAACATAAATAAATAAATAAATTAATTAATTAATTACTTAAATAAATAAATGTTTTGTTTTTGAACAGAGCAGACACCCGAGTGTGGGGCCCCACACTGAAGAGCTTTTAAATGCTGCTGCTTCTTTCAAGTGTCCAGACTGCAGCTTGTGCTTTTCTTCGGTGGGAGCTTCATTTTAAATAATTAATTAATAATAAATAAATAAACAAATAAATAGTAGTTAATTAGTTAGTTAATTGATAATTAAATAATAATTAATTAAATAATTATTTTATTTATTTTCGTTTTGCTTCTTCCCGTTTGTTTTTGGCATTTTTGCATTTCATTTTTGGCATTTTTATTTTTTTGAAAGTTTTAAATTCAATTTCAAGTTCATTTATCGTTTTTATTATTTTGCGATTATTTAGATTTTAATTATTTATTTTTTGTTTCGTAATATTTAATTTTAAATAATTTGTTTTTATTGTTTGTTATTTGCTGCTGCTGTTTGCAGAAAAGCAACATGCGGCTACATGCAAGAGTAAAGCATTTAAATGAAAAAAGATTTATTTGCAACTTTTGCTGCTCCGCTTTTGCCTACAAAGCTGTCCTCCGCAGACACGTAGCAGCTAAACATGCTGCTGCTGCTGCTGCTGCTGCTGCTGATGGCGGTGCGGACGCCGCAGCAGCAGCAGATACGACGGCAGCAGCAGCAGGAGCAGCAGACACTAGCACAGCAGGAACAGATACTACCAAAGCAGCAGCAGCAGCAGACACTGCTGCTGCAGCAGCAACAGCAGAGACTGCTGCTGCAGCAGCAACAGCAGAATCAGCAGTAGCAGCAGAGGCGAGCACTACTGCAGCAGCGGCAACGGCAGAACCAGCAGCAGCAGCAGCAGCAGGAGACAAAAGAGACAAACAAACGAATTTAAAAAGCAGCAAAAGAGCAGGAGCTCAGTTCCTAGTAGATGCTGTTGCTGTTGATCTTGTCTGCCCAGCAGCAGCAGCAGCAGCAGCAGCAGCAAAACGAAGACAAGAAAACTGATATCTGGACTTTTTCTTTGCTTCGAACTGCTGTAAATTGGCAATTGCGCAAATGAATAGAATGCAATTAAATGATTAAATGATTAATTGATGATTAAATGATTAATTGAATTAAATAGTTCAATTTAATTCAACTTCCAAACAAAACTGTCTCCGTTCCACTTCTCCGTGCCCACGTGAAACAGCCCCACAGCAGCAGCAGCAATTTGTCTCTTTTTCTTTCCCCGCAAAATTGCTGCTGCTTTCATCTTCAGCATTTTCTTCATTCCAGACAAAGACAAAGACCAGCGACTCGTTGCTGCAGCAGCAACAGCAGCAGCAGAGCAGCAGCAGCAGCAGCGCAGCAGCAGCAGCGCATAAAAAAAGAACTGATTCCGAATGGATTTGCAAGAACATTAAAAGCAAAATAAAGACAAAAATGAATAAAATGAACATAATTTCAATTAAATGCACTTTTGAAAAAGTGAAAACTCACAAAGAACGTGAGAGACCATGTTGGCTCTTTCGGCGGCCATGGCCTCCTGGAGTGTATGTCCACTGAACCACTTGCACTTGAAAGCAACTGCGTTGTGGACTTGGCTTTCATTTAATTCATTTCTTTTCCTTTTTTCTTTTTTTTCTTTCAAAAAAGATCCCGCAATTGTCACTTCCGACAAAGACTCCAGCGCCGCCTCCAACGCAGCTTTTAAGGCCTCCAGCTTCTTTCCTTTTGCTGCTGCCATTTGCCGCAAAATCATTTCTGAAAAACAATTCAAAAATCCATTTTGCTTCTTTTCAAGTCTTTTCCAGCCTAAATAGTTCTTAAATAATCAATTAATTCATTAATCTAATTAATTCTATATAAATATATATGTAAATGTTTCTATATTTAAAAAAGATATATATATATATATGCATGCATGCATCTATATCGACAAGTGCAAAGTGCGCTGCGGTGTACGTACACCGCGCGCCGTTTGCATGCGCCGTTTGCTGCTTCTCTTTTCTCTCTTTTTGTTCATTTATTTGTTTATTATTATTAATTTATTTATTATTATTAATTATTTATTGTTTATTGTCTATTTTTCACCTTTGTAGGCCTGACACCACATGTCCAGAGCCAACTTGGAACTCAGAACTTGCAGCTGGGCTTCGGGCGACAGCGTCCTCTGGTGTACGTACACCGCAGCAGCAACAAAACATTTTGCAAAATAATTCAAAGAACTTTTACGCAAACTCTTTTAGTTATTCTTTCAATCTTTATGCAAACTCTTTCATTTATTCCTTTTAATCTTTATGCAAACTCTTTTATTTATTCCTTTTAATCTTTATGCAAATAGTTTTATTTATGTTTTTAATCAATTTGTACATGAGGCTTCATATATATAAATATCTGTAAATACACATATGTTTATATACATACAAATGTATATAAATCCATATACGTATAACATGTACTCTATAAATATAAATATTATTATATTACAGAAATATTGTGTATGTATTATATATATGCGTTGTATATATATATATTTATATCTATGTATATTTATATACAAATATTTACGCATATAAATGTATTTAATTGTATTAAAAAAACACCAATTAAATATGTTGATAAAAGCACCAATTGAATATGTTTAATTGTACTTACATAAACAATTAAGTATATTTACTTGTATTTAAACAAACACCAATGAAACATATTTATGAAACATTTAAATTTAAATTTAAAAACAATTAAATATATTTTTTTTTAAACAAACACCAATAACCACACTTATGAAACAACCAAATTTAAATTTAAATTTAAAGATTTTACCCGTGCACTTCTTCTGTCTCTATTCCCCCTTTTTGTCTCTTCAAAACTAAACCCTTTTCTGTCTCCTTTTGGTTCTTCAATTTCTGCATAAATGTTTTCCGGAAGATCTTCTTTGGGGGCCCCCCCGCTCTCCTGGGGGCCCCTTGGGAAGGCTCTTTGGGGTATTTCTGGCAAGGGCCTTTTGGGGCCCCTCGAGGGGGCCCTCTGGGGGCCCCCGGGGGGCCCCTGGGGCCCCTGGGGGCCCCCCTGGCTAGTACCCTCCAAGGGCCCCTCCGGGGGGGCCCCCTGCGAGGGGGCCCCCATGGGGGGCCCCTGGAAAGCCTCCGGGGGGCCCCCAACGGGGGCCCCCGGGAAAGTGCCCTGGGGGGCCCCAAGGGGGGCCCCCTGGGGGGCCCCCTCGAGGGGGCCCCCCTGGGGAGAGGGAAGGGCCCCCCTGCATCTGTAAGAGAAGTCAATTGCTGCTTTGAGAATGGAAAGAGGGTTTGCATAAGTTGCCATGAGTTTATTTAATTCATTTAAAAGTTTATTTTCGTTTTTAATTGGCAAAGGGTTTAGAGACAAATAAAAAGAAGGGTTTGGAGAAGAAGCCCGCGAGGCGTCCTTCACGTCCGTCACAAACCCTAAGTCAATCGAACTCCCCAGGTCTGCACGCAAACCCTAAACCCTAAACCCTAAACCCTAAACCCTAAACCCTAACCCCGAGTCAATCAGACTTCCCAGGTATGCACGCAAGTCCTAAACCCTAAACCCTAACCCCGAGTCAGTCGAGTTCCCCTGTATGCAAACCCTAAACCCTAAACCCTAAACCCTTGGTAAGTCTTTTCGTGTATTTGCAAACTCTGGGGGGTTTCAGCCCTGGGGGCTGGACATAAACCCTAAACCCTAAACCCATTTCGCCGCATGCAGCCGCTGGTAAGGGCTGCCGAGACAAACCCTAAACCCTAAATCGTAGTTTACCTCCGCAGCTGTCTTGAATGACTTTCATTGCGACGTAGGCGGGACCCTTGGCTGCAGAAGGAAAGAGACACACACGAGGGTTTAGGGTTTAGGGTTTAGGGTTTAGGGTTTAGGGTTTAGCCGCACGTTCCCCACGTGCTGTTGCTGCTGCTGCTGCTGCTGCAGTTGGCTGCCAATGGAAGATTGAGGGTTTAGGGTTTGGCGCATGGCTGCTGGTCGCTGCAAAGCGTCTCCCAAACCCTAAACCCTAAACCCTGAACCCTCACGGTGGAGGAAGAGGAAGGAGTAGAAGAGCTTTTTGGCGTTGGGCTGGTTAGGGTTTTCGAAGACCACAAACCCTGGATTAGGGTTTATCCAGAGGCCCACGAGGGACTGAATAATGACGAAGAACAGCTGCAAAAAGGGACTGTCTCTTTGCTGCAGCAAGGGTTTGACAAATCTGCTTCTGAAGACATTGGCGAGGCTCTGCAGTGCAGCAAGAGAGCCTTGGTAGCTGCTGCTGCGGACGTGCTGCTGCTGCTGCAGCTGCTGCTGCAGCTGCTGCCACCCCGAAGGCATTTTCCCCTTTTTGCTTTTTCCAAACATTCCCGAGAAAAAAGACTTTATTGCTGCTCCCAACTTCGAAAGCAAAGAACTCCGAAACTCCTCCACCGCCGTGTGCAGAAAGAACGCTGCGCGCCCGAAAATAAACACCCTTTTAGGGTTTAGGGTTTAGGGTTTGGGGGCGTTTTCCGCGGCTTTTTGCAGTGAAATGACCATTTAAATGCCTCAAAATAAAGCCCCTTGATTAATAATTCATTAATTAATTATTAATTAATTAATTAGTTAAATGATTAATAATTAATTAATTAATTAATTGGCTTTTACCCATTTGCAGCCCCGCAGAAGTGAGTGCTGCGCCAAAGGGCTTGTTGATTTGCTTCGGATTGAATTTGTCTCCTTTACTTTCAATCCAAAGTTTGGTGAAGACAAGTGCTGCGTTGCTGCTGCTGCTGCTGCTGCCGCGGGGGAGGAAGCCAGCAGCAGCAGCAGCAGTGGCGCGGAGCTGCACCCAGGTGTGCAGCAGCAAGTTGCTGCTGCTGCTGCTGCTGCTGTCGCGCTTCACTATGTTTGCAAATTGCAGCAGCAAATCCAAATTTGACAAAAGTTCTTTTGCTGCTGCTGCTCCAATCTTTTCTTTTTTTCTTTTCACCCCTTCAAAGCTCTCCAGAGTCTCCAGCAGTCTCCCCAGCTGTTCTCTCCTGCTTCTCACGCTGCTGCTGCTGCTGCTGCTGCTGCTGATTTCGGGGCTCTGCTGCAGCTGCAGCAGCCAGCGCATGCGCAAGAAAGCCCCGCTGCTGCGGATTTTCGCGGGTCGTCTCTGGTTGATTTAAATGCATTTAATTCTTCATTTAGATGTTTATTCAATTAATGTAATTAATTTATTCATTTAATTTATTTAATTAATTTATCTCACCTGCTGGCCAATGCCAAAGTAAGCCACGGCGAAGCCGCCAATGCGCTTCAACTTGGCTTCGATTTGCATGAGGGAGTTGTCTGCGGAGAAGACGAAGTTCGCGGCAACTGCGGAAAAAGGCGGAAAACAAACGCGGAAACGCTCAAACTGATCCCAAATGAATCCAAAATAATAAATTATTTGAATTATTGGATTCATTTCGTCCAAAAATGACAAAAAATCTCGAAAAATGACCCAAGTTTCGCCGGAAAATGCAAAACGCCAAAACTTGAATCTGCTGCTGCTGCTCCCCACGAACTCCTTTCTTTCCACTTCTTCTTCAACTCTTTTTTATTCTTTTTCTTTTTATTTGTTTAATTAAATTAATAAGTGAATTAATCAATTAATTAATTAATTAATCAATTAATAAACAGCGCTCGTCGCACAAGTCCAAAAATCCGAAAGAAGGCCGCGGGCCTGAAATGAAATTAAAAAATAAATAAATAAAAATAAATAAATAAATAAATATAAATAAATAAACATAAATAAATAAATAAAAATAAATAAATAAATAAATATAAATAAATGAATAAAAATAAATGAATAAAAATAAATAAATAAATATAAATAAATGAATGAAATAAATAAATAAAAACAAATACATGAATAAAAATAAATGAATAAAAATAAATAAATAAAAATAAATAAATAAATAAATAAATATCAATAAATAAATATAAATAAATAAATGAAGAGGGGAAGAAAAATGAATAAATTGCATGAGGTTTAGTCGAAGACAGAAGCTTCAAAAAAGAGAAATTTTAGTTTACTTTGTTTTTGAATTTAAAATCAAATTAAAATTTATTTATGATTTGATTTGTTATTTGATTAATTATTTGTTTGTCATTCGATTTATTATTTCAAACTAACCTTTTTTGCCCTTCTTTCCGTTTCCTAAAAAAGGCAAAAAGACAAAAAGTCATTTTTCTTCATTTTCTATTTGTCATTTCATTTTTATTTTATTTTTTATTTTTGCAATTATTTTATTTTCGTTTTTTCAATTGAAGACTTTCCATTTGCACTTTATTTAAATTTAATTCTCTTCATTTTGTTCCTTTTGTTTTCAATTTGTGCATGCACTGAATCGCCCATGCATTTTTTTATTTGACTAATTTTATTTTCTTTATTTATTAATCAATTAATTAATCAGTTATATAATTAATTAATTAATGTATTTGTTTATTTTTAAATTTTATTCATTTATTTATTTCATTTATTTACCTGTTTGCAGCAAATCAACTAAGGCGGCGTTCATTGGGCCTCCAAGAGTTCTGTCCCAGTCTTCTCTCATGAAAGGGACAATTCCTAAAAAATAAAATAAAAATAAAAACAGAAAATAATAAATTAAAAATAAAAACTAAATTGAATAAACAAATTGAACAAAGTAGAAATAAAATTAAGTAAATGGCACTAAATAAACAAAATAAATGAAAAAATAGTATTCCAAAAAACACTTTTTATGGTTTTGCATGCAGCTGATGAACAAATAAATAAAAAGAAATAAAAAGAAAAGTAAAAAACAAACCGGAGATAAATGCCACTTTTGAATAAGTGGCAATGTGAAAATTGAATTGTCAGAATAATAAACATTTAACAGAAAAATGCAATAATAATAAAATAATAAAAGAAATACAAGAAAAAGGAAATTAATTGCAAAGAAAAAAGTGAAAGGCGAATGGTGGAAGAAATGGAGAGAGAAATGGAGTGAAAGCGCGAAAAAAAGCGGAGAAATAAAGGAAAGAATAAAAATAGATACATAAATAAATAAATAAATTATTTAAATGCAAAAAAGCCGAAAAAAGAAAAGATTGGGATTGAATTCAAGTTGAATCACCTTGCTGCTGCAGCCGCTGCACGCGGAGTCGGAGCCTGTCGTTCAAAACTGGGTCTCTTTCGATTATTTCAAAGAGTTTTCTGTCTCTAAAATGCTGATTAAATCGAACTATTATATCTAAAATGGCTGAAAAACATCCTGTGCTGATTAATCCGTTGAAAGATGGAGCTGGAGATACACCCGAAGACAGCCGCTGCAACGCCGAGCTCCCTGTACACCCCACGCCGTACGTACACCCCAAAACCGAATTTTCCAAAAAGCAAATAAAACGCAGTTAATAAATAAAAATAAAATAAAATAAAATAAACAAAAGAAGTGGAAATGATTTGATATATTTCTTTGTAAATTGTTGCAAATGGAAACAGAAATGCAAATAGTTGTAAAAATTCCAAAAACTAAAAAGAAAGAAAAGCGGAGAGAAAATGGAGTTCGCTGAAAAAAGAAAAGTGCCAAAAATGAAATTAAAAAAAGAAAAAAGAAATTAAAAAAACATTAAAAAGATATTTAAAAACGGGGCAAAAGGGAGATAAAAAAGAGATAGAAAAGAGACGAAAAAGATAAAAAGAAACAAAGGTAAAGAGACAAACAAGAGGAAAAAAAAAAGAAATAAAAACAAAAAAGAAACAAAAAAGAAGAGACAAAAAAGAAACAAAAAAGCGGGGAAAAAAAGAGACAAAAAAGGAAATAAAAAGTAACAAACAAGAGACAGAAAAGAGATAAAAAGGAGACAAAAAAAGAAATCAAAAATAACAAAAAGGAGAAAAAAAAGATGAAAAAAAAATGAAAAGAAAGACGAACAAATTGCCTTGGCGCGGGCCTCAATGTCTTCGGTGCTGGTGAACACAGCGACTCCTGCTGCTGCTGCTGCTGCTGCTGCTGCTGGCTGCTGCGGCGCTGCTGCTGCTGCTGCTGCTGCTGCTCTGTCTAAAAAACTGTCTCCAACTGTCTCTTTTTTTTCTCCTTTTTTTGTCGAAAATAAATTTATTTCCGCAGAACAAAAGTCTTCCGAAGTCCCGCGGTTTCCCAACACATATTCCTAAAAACAAACATTTTCATTTTAATTCATTTTAGTCCATTTTTAATTCATTTTAATTCATTTAAGTTCATTTTAATTCATTTTAGTTTGCTTTTATTTGTTTTATCCATTTAATGCACTAATTGTTGCACATTTTTGTTTTTTTGCTCAAATATCAAAAAAGAAATACTTTTTTGAGCTTCCGCTTCAGTTAGTTGGTTTATACTTTTGCCTTTATTATTTTTTATTTTTATTTTCTTTTTGCAATATTTACAATTCAATTCAAAGTTGCATTTATATTTACACTTTTGCATTGTTAACCCTAAACCCTAAACCCTAAACCCCAAACTCTAAATCCCAAACCCTAAACCCTAAACCCTGAACCGTAAACCCTAAACCCTGGGCCGTAAGCCCTAAAACCTGGACCGTAAACCCTAAACCCTAAATCCCAAACCCTAAACCCTAAACCCTCAAGCCCAAACCCTAAACCCTGAACCGTAAACCCTAAGCCTTCAACCCCAAACCCTAAACTCTGAACCCTAAACCCTAAACGCTAAACCCCAAACCGCAAACCCTAAACCCTAAACCCTAAACCCTCACCGCAGTGACGCTATGGAAGACAGTCTCTTTGTGTCCCCTTGCCAATCTGCTGCCAATCTCTTTAAGTCCCTCCAACTCTTTTGCTGCTGCTGCTGCTTCTGCTTCTCCCAAACCCTCGAAAGAGTACCTGCGGGGGCCCCCTGAGGGTTGGTATTCAATGCGCACTCTTTCTGCAGTTGGTGCTGCTGCTGCTGCTGCTGCTGCTGGTGGGGGTCCCCTGGGGGCCCCTGCGGGGGCCCCTGCGGGGGCCCCTGCGGGGGCCCCTGCGGGGGGCCCCGCGGGGGGGCCCCCAAAGCGCATGAGGTAGCGGCGCTGCTGCGGCAGTGCTGCTGCTGCTGCTGCTGCTGCTGCTGGTGCAGCAGCAGCAGCAGCACCTCCGCTCTGGATAATTGCTGTTGAGATTTGGAAGCTGCTTGTGGCTGTGTCTGTAGCAAACGAAAAGGAATTTAATTTAATTACCATTACTTAATTTAATTGAATTAATGTTGTTTAATTGAATTAATGTTATTTAATTTGAATGAATTGATGCTATTTAAATGAGTTAGTATTATTTAATTCAAATGAATTGGTATTATTTAATTTAAATGAATTAACATTATTCAATTTAAATAAGTTAATACTACTAAATTTAAATAAATTAATAATATTTTATTCAAATAAATAAATATTATTTAATTCAAATGAATAAAGTTGAATTAACGTAGAAAAATGAAAAATGCATTTATGCTAAAAGTAGAAAAAAGCAAAAAGGCTTTTTTGAAGAGAAAACTCGGGAAAAAAGAAATAAAAAGATCTTGAATAATAAACCAATAAAAGGAGTTTAAATAATTAAAAAGAAATAAAATAAAGAAAGAAATAAAGAAATAAAGAAAAAGAAATAAAATGGATTTACTGTTTGCTGCCTGGAGAACGCGGTCGACGACGAGCTGCTGCTGCTGCTGCGTGAGGTGTCCGTACACCCGAACCTGGAGTTCCTGCTTGATTTGGAAATCAATTTCATTTTTATTTTTATTTAAAGTTGCAGTTAATTCAGCTTTTCTTTTTGCAACATATTGGACCAAAGCATCCAAGTCGTTGAGCTGGAGGCTGGCGCGGGCGGCGTGGGTGTCTGCTGCTGCTGCTGCTGCTGCTGCGTCCGCCGCTGCTGCTGCTGCTGCTGCTGCTGCTTCCAGCGCAGCCTGCAGCAGCTGCAGCACCAAGTCTATCAAGTGTCTCCCTATTGCTAAAGGCCCTTCTAATTGGCCAAGTAAAAATAAATATATTTCAGATAAAGGAATAATTAATTGGCCCCTTCCTCCCAGCAAAAGGGCCTTCAAGTTCTGCAGAGACACCTTCGCGCTCGTCACCAAGATGTACGCTGAGGCCCAAACCACAAATCAGGGTTTAGGGTTTAGGGTTTCCCGCTGAGGGCTTGTGGTTTAGGGTATGCATGGTCAGCAGGCTACGCTTCAGCGTAGAAGTCTTGCCGCTTGGGGTCCAGGATTCGGGATTTAGGGTCTCGCGTTTAAGCTTAAGGGTTTAGGGTTTAGGGTTTAGGGTCTAGGGTTTGGGGTTTGGGTTGGGTTTGCTTACATGAAGCTTGGAGGTAATAAGTCGCTGCAGCAGCAAACAAAACCAAAGAAAGAAAACCCTAAACCCCAAACCCTGGACCCCAACACCTTGACGACGAACGCTAAACCCTAAACCCTAAACCCTAAGCCCTCAAGCCTCACACTGCAGCATGGCCTGCGTTAAATAAACCCTTTCCGCTACTTCTGTTATTGCCTTCAAATCTCCTCTTTGACCCGCTGAGAGACAAAGACAAAGAAAAACCCTAAACCCTAAACCCTAAACCCTAACCGTAGGCCTTAAGCCGCAAGGCCTGAATCCCTAATTCCAAATCCTAGTCCCCAAACCAAAAGCCCCGCGACCTGAACCCCAAGCTCTAAACCCCACACCCTAACCGCCAAACCCTAAACCCTAAACCCTAAACCCTCACCTTCGGCCAGGGCCTGTTCACCCCGCTGCTTCGCTTGCTGCAGCTGCTGCTCATAAGTCTTTGCTGCTGCTTCTTCTCGCGCGCGAACTTCTTCTTGAGTCGGCACTTCTGCGAAGCTGTGGGGCCCTGCGAAAACCCCAAACCCTAAACCCTAAACCCTAAACCCTAAACCCTAACCCTAAACCCTGAAGGCACGGAGGCGGCGGGGAGGCACAGGCGCGAAAGAAAGAAGTGAACCACTGCACTGCTTGGGATAGCAAGCAATAAGCCCTAAACCCTAAACCCTAAGCCCCAAACCCTAAACCCTAAACCCTAAACCCTTACTTGCGCTGTGCTGCTGGTCAATAAAGGCCATTTTCACTTTCTTTGATTTCTTTGAAGGCACCGAGCGCGGCACACACTCAACACCTGTACAGACACAAGCCCTAAACCCTAAACCCTAAACCCTAAACCCTAACATGTACCAGCAGCCCCTAAACAGTAAACCCAGAAGCCTAAAGTCCGAAGCAGGTCCACTACAGCCCACAGTCTCCCTAGCTCTCGTTCCTGCGGCCTGAACCCCAAACCCTAAACCCTAAATCCTAAACCCTAAACCCTAAACCCTCACCGGAGTACGACAGCAGCGATGCTGCAAACTCCCTCAAGACGTAGCAGTAGCTGCTGTCTTCGCCCGGGCCGTTGCAGTACCTTGCTGGCTGCTGCAGTGCTTCTGCAGTGCTGCTGTTAATTTGCTGCTGCACCGTCTCCAGAAACGCATCTGCTGCAGCAGCAGCAGCAGCAGCAGCAGCGACAGCAGCAGCAGCTATTACAATGCGGCGGCGCCGGCAGCAGCAGCAGCAGCACGAATGGCAGAGCCAACAGCAGCATACAGGCAAAAGTAACACTACTAAAAGCTGCAGCAGCAGCAGCAGCAACATCGGCAGCAGCAGCAACAGCAGCAGCAGCAGCTCCTGTGTTTCTCACCTTCTGCAGCGAGGCGCGCTGTTGCATCCGGGACTATTCACAGCAGACAAAATAAAAAAGAAATAATTAAATATTCAAAAATAATAAAATGCAATTTATTAATTTTGTTCACTCTTTTATTTTTTAACTAAAGGCGTGAGGTATATTGAGAGCAACAGCAGCAGCACCAGCAGCGGTAGCAGCAGCAGCAGCAGCCGAAGCAGCAGCAGCAGCTTTTGACATTTCCCCGATTCAGGCCTTTTTGTTGCTTCGGATGTTCGCACGGCTTTTTGTCTAACTCACCCGCGTAAGCGTTTGCTGCTGCTCCTGCTGCTGCTGCTGCTGCTGCTGCTTCCGCAGCTTGTACTGCTGCTGCGTCTGCGGCGTCATCGTACATGGTGGGCTCATATGCAGCACCAGAAGGACGTCTAGACAATGGCGTTGCTGCTGCAGCAGGTGCAGCTGCAGCAGCAGGTGCTGCTGCTGCTGCAGGTGCTGCTGTTATTGAAGGCGCTGGTGCTGCTGCAGGTGCTGCTGCTGCTGCACGTGCTGCTGCTGCTTCTGCTGCTTGTACTGCTGCTGCATCTGCTGCGTCATCGTACACTGTGGGCTCATATAGAGAGGAACGTCTAGATGGTGCTGCTGCAGCAGGTGCTGCAGCAGGTGCTGCAGCAGGTGGTGCTGCACGTGCTGCTGCTGCTGCTGCTTCTGCTGCTTGTACTGCTGCTGCATCGGCTGCGTCATCGTACACTGTGGGCCCATATAGAGAGGAACGTCTGGATGGTGGTGCTGCAGCAGGTGCTGCTGCAGCAGGTGCTGCTGCAGCAGGTGCTGCTGCAGCAGGTGCTGCTGCACGTGCTGCTGCTGCTTCTGCTGCTTGTACTGCTGCTGCGTCTGCTGCGTCGTCGTACACTGTGGACCTGTTTGAAGCAGTGGAGAAGCGTCTAGATCCTGCTGCTGCTGCTGATGTGTCTGCTGCAGTTGCTGCTGTGTCATCTGCTACTTCATCATAAACTGGCTCATTTGCTGCAGCAGCCAAACGGCTCCCCTGGTTTACATAAGGGGGCTCATACTGCACCCAGGAAGCTTGCGGCTTTTGGCCTGCAGCAGCAACACATGCGCAAACGCTGCAACAGTTGCTGCTGCTGCTGCTGCTGCTGCTGATTCTGCTGCTGCTGCTGCTGCTTGTGATGCTGCTACTGGTGGCGGTGGGGCCGGTGCTACTGCCACTGGCGGTTCCAGTGCTCCTGCGATTGTTGCTGCTGCTACTCGTGCTGCTGCTGCTGTTGCTGTTGCTGCTGCTGCTGCTGTTGCTGCTGCTGCTGCTGCTGCTGCTGCAACAACAGCTGGGGCGTTTTGCTCCAGCAGCCAAGGGTTACCTAGCAAGCTTTGAGCCGGGGCTTGGTGACGAGCTGCAGAAAAGCCAACGCATGCACGGGAGTTTTGCAAATAGAGATTTACACAATTATCTGTTTTGCATTTTAATGTTAGCTGCTGCTGCTGCTGCTGCTGCTGAGGGAGGCAGCACCAGGGCTCAAGTGTATGTACACACCGGCCTTTCCAAGCGCTTCCACATCAGCCAAAGCTGAGGCGATAAAAAGAGCCACGGGAAGCAGCGGCCCTGTGCCTGCGCGCAGCAGCAAACCGGCAGAACCGCAGCAGCATGAAGCAGCAGCAGCAGCAGCACAGGGAGCGAGACCCGCTGCTCTGTTGCTCTGGAAAATACAAAAAGGGAAAAGGAAAGCCAGGAGAACTGGCGGGCTGTAGTGAAACCGCGGGCAGCAGCAGCTTTCCGCGCAAGACCTAAAGCTTCAGGTGGACGGACACCCCAAGAAAGCAGTGGAAAGCGGCTTTTTTTGGCGTCAGTTCCCTGACATTTGAATTCTCACCGCGATTAAAGAGATATTTGAACATTTTGAGCAGAACTTCTTTTGAAATGGAACAGATTTCCGCGGCAGGTTGCGATCATTTCACTCAGCTTGAGCTGTCTAGACACCTGAAAGAAGCGGTCGCCCGGACTAAAACACGGAGCCGCGACTGCATTCGGCGGGCAAACAGGCCCTAAAATAAAAGCCAAACAAATATAATTTAAATAATTAAATTCTTTTCATTAATGAATCCGTTGGCCTCTCTCGCCGGGCCACAGCTTCTTCGCCCGAGCTCAAACAGCCTGCTGCACGGGCCCCGCGTCCTGCGGCGGCTTTTCTGGCGGCGCTGCAGCTCCATTAATGGATTAAAACAGTTAATTTTAATTATATTTTTAATTCAAATTAAATTTCAGCTTTTATTTCGGAGTTTTCAAACGCAGAAACTTCAAATTCCCACCGCAGCGCAAGAGCCAGCCGCTGGTCTGGTCTAGCTTGCCTCCGCTGCATTCCCAGGTGTACCGACACACGAGCTCATCCCTGCAGTAAATTGAACACTTGTCTGTTTCTTTTCATCTATTTTTATTTATTTTATTTCACATTATTATTTTAAAATGCTATTTCCCGCAATAATGCAACACCCAAACAACTCACCTATCTTGCAGAGGTCACCCGAGGCCGACACAGTTTGAATCTGAGAGCCGTCAAAATACTAAAGAAATAAACAAAAGAAAAACTAAAAAAAGATCAAACTTTAAACCCTAAACCCTAAACCCTAAACCCGTAGCCCTGGAGGCATTCGCGACTTCCAACATTGGTGGTTTAGGCTTTAGAGCTTTCGGCTGGGTGCAGCGGGCCCTATCCCAAACCCTAAACCCTAAACCCCAAACCCTTCTAATTCTCAACAAAATGCCAAAAGGCTCACTAGTCCCCTACGAGGTTCGCGCTAAAAACCAGCTTCTTCCTTGTCTCTCCCTAAACCCCAAATCGGTGTTTTAGGGAAATTCTCTCAAAGACAGAAACCCTCATTTGGTGCGCAGCACGGATAGATTTAGCAGCTAGCTACAGCTAGCTGCAGCTAGCTGTAGCTGGCCACAGTAGCTGGAGCTAGCTGGAGCTAGCACCAGCTAGCCACAGTAGCTGCAACTAGCCACAGTAGTGGCAGCTAGCTGGAGCTAGCTGGAGCTAGCAGCAGCTAGCCACTGTTGGCCACAGCTGGTCATGGCTTGATGTGCCTAGCTACAGCTAGCGACGGCTAGCTACAGCTAGCTAGAGCTAGCTACAGCTAGCTACAGCTAGCTATAGTCGGCCACAGCTAGCCACAACCAGCTACAGGCAGCTACAGCAAGCTGCAGTTAGCTATAGCCAGCTACAGCCAGCTACAGCTAGCTACAGCTAGTTAAAGCCAGCTACAGCCAGTTACAATTAGCTAGAGCCAGCTACAGCTAGCTACAGCTAGCCACAACCATCTACAGCTAGCTATAGCTAGCTACAGCTAACTAAAGCTAGCTACAGCAAGCTACAGCTAGATACGGCTAGCTACAGATAGCCACAGCTAGATAAGAGCAGAGAGTGGAGCTAGCAGCTAGCTGTGGCTATTTATGGCTAGCCATGAGATATCTCTTCAGGCCTATTTTGCTGAATATGATTTAATTTATATTTTATAAATAAAAGCAAAAAAGCTTTTCAGTTGCAGTGCATGTTTTGGACAAGAACTGCATGCAGCCAGACGGGGCTGCTGAGACGCGACAAAACCCTAAACCCTAAACCCTAAACCCTGATACGTTACGAGAACTCTAGTAGTGAACAGAGAGTTACAAAGTCTCAACAAAAGAAGTGCAAATATAATTGAAGCGCAGCTAATCTAGCAGACAGTCCACAAATTCAGCTTTGGCCGAAGGCCTAGGGTTTAGGGTTTAGGGTTTATTCAGCTACGTAGTAAGCATTTGATGCATGCTTAGGCACAAAAGTAAACCCTTTTGGAGGGGGCCCTAAAAACATCGAAGATATTTCCACCCAGTCCTGCAGGAAGGAAAAAACGCAAAAAATAAAATTATTGATAATGACAGGAATAACATAATAACAATATAAGAATAACAACTAAAATAATAATAACAACGACAATAATAATAATAGTAATAGTAATATAATAATAATAACCACAATCATAAGAATCATGATCACAATCCAAATCATTAACATTAGTAGTAATAATAATAACAATAATAATAATAATAATAATAATAATAATAGTGGGAATTATAACGATAATAATAAGAAGAATAAGAATATCAATAATGACAATAATAGTAAAGTTAATAATAGTAATAATAGTAATGATAATAATAAATAATAACAGTAATAATGGTAATAATGAGAATATGAATAAACAGAGAAAAACGAGTCTAAAGTCTCGCAGTATAAAATGCCTAAAAAGATATTTTTGAGCAGAAAAAGGAAAACAGAGCAAAAATGGGAAAAAGTGAAAATGTTTTGATCTTTATTTTTGCATGCTCAAGACATGTTCAAGAAAAAACCTGAATTGACTCATTTATGAACAATAATTTGACCTTTTTGCCTTGCAAAAGATGCTCTTCTCAAAAAGAATTAAATATCTTTATCTATGTACTTAAATTAAAAGTATTTACACTAGAGTCGAAGACAAAAGTGCAAAAGTGCGAAAAAAAGAGGCACAGCTGCGGTGTACAGACACTTCAAAACGCGGCAAAGAAGCGCACTGTACAAGAAATCCATGACGAATATAAATTCAAAAAATATTTAAACAAAAATAATGAACAAAACGTCATTTTTATTTGCATGCAGAAATCAGCATGCAGCCCCAAAAGAAAGCTGCTGAAAACTTCCCCTAAACCCTAAACCCTAAACCCTAGGGGCTGACCTGGGTTTTGGGGCTGGCGAGCTTGACCTCGAGGTCGCTTCTGCCGACAAAAGGACTCGGCCGCCACTGAATTAGTTGGGGATTTAATTCTAAAAATGGAGGAGGAATATAACGATGTGCAAAAGAGAGAAACTCCAGAAGAAAGCGGCGAGCTGTCGATACACCCCGGCGGTCGCTGCCCCAGTGCTCCAACGCGTTGTTCACGAACTCCTGAAAACCCAATTAAATTAAATTCTAATTTAAATTGAAGTTTTAAACCAATTATTTATCTGTTTTCCCGCTTTTAATTGCAGAAAGATGATTCAGAAAACGAAAACAATCGTGGGAAATGATGCATGCAAAAGATGCATTCAAAAATGGAATATTCAAATTCAAAATGAATAAAAAAGGCGAAGAGTAAAAGAAATAAATCAATTTCTGATTATAAATTAAATTGTCTGATATTTCATTTACAATTTCTGATTAATTAGTAATTGTCAATTAACAATTAAAAGTCTTTTTGAATTAAACAACATTTACTCAGCTGAAAGCACTCCGTATTATCAGACTGTTGATACTTGGCAATTCGAGCTTAGGGTTTAGGGTTTAGGGTTTGTGGGCCCGAACTTCAGGGTTTAGGGTTTAGGGTTTGTGGGCCCGAACTTGAGGGTCTAGGGTTTGTGGGCCCCAACTTGAAGGATATTTAGTCTTTTAGAGGCCGAAATGTCCCAAATTCGCTTTTCTTTTATTTCTGTAAACAGCCAGCGTTTAGGGTTTAGGGTTTGTGGGCCCGAACGTCAAGGATATTTAGTCCTTCAGGGGCCGAAATGTCCCGAATTCGCTTTTCTAAACAGCCAAGGTTTAGGGTTTAGGGTTTAGGGTTTGTGGGCCCGAACTTGAAGGATATTTAGTCTTTCAGAGGCCGAAATGTCCCAAATTCGCTTTTCTCTTATTTCTGTAAACAGCCAGGGTTTAGGGTTTAGGGTTTAGGGTTTGTGGGCCCGAACTTGAAGGATATTTAGTCTTTCCGGGGCCGAAATGTCCCAAATTCTCCTTTCTTTTATTTCTGTAAACAGCCAGGGTTTGATGAGGGCCCCCCGGCCAACCATTAAGGCGTCCATACAGCTGGTGGCTTCGCGAAATTCATATTCCGCGCTGCTCAAAATGTCGCCACATCCTGCATTTAAAATGAAAATAAAAAAAAACAAACACAAATAAACTTCAAAAAGAAATAAATCATAAATAAATATCTATAACTAGTAAATAAAAAGAAATAAATGTCAAAATCTCCAAAAACGAAGAAATGAGAATTCGTAGAAGTCTTTTTGCACATTTTAATCCCACAGACTTAATGGCATATGACTTTTTTTGGATTTTGCAAATTAAAAACAATTAATTAAATTGCAAATAATTAATTTAAATATATTTATTTCTTTTATTCCAAATAAACATTAATGGCCATTAACAAGTGCAAAAGTTTGCATGCAGACGCGCATGCGCGGGTGCAAAATGAATGCAACAACAACACTTGATAAAAAGACAAAAAATGAAAGAAAAGGATTAAATGAACTCTGCATGCAAAGATAAAAGGACAAAAAGTCCTTCAAATTACAAAGAACTCTGCATGCAAACGTAAAAAGACAAAAAGTCCTTCAAATTACCAATTAAAAGAACATCTTCTGGCATAAACTCTTTGCAATATTTCAAATAATTCCAATCTGCTGCTTTCGTGTATCTTTGCTGCGCAGTGCGCCCGTGGGCAAAAACTGCAGCAACTCCGCAGCTAGCCAATCTGCAGCAGCATTCCAAGCAGCAGCAGCAGCAGAAGCAGCGATTTCATTGCAGCTAATGGGGAGCTTTCGTTGAATTGCTGCTGCTGCTGCTGCTGCTGGGGAGAAAAGAAAGAAAAAGAACCGCTCGGAGTAGCAGCAACAGCAGCAGCAGCAGCAGCATGGAGATCACAAAAGAAAAAGAGAAAATTAAAGCAGCAGCTGCAAAGTAGATACAGAATTTAGTCCAAGTGCAGCAGCGGGAGCAGCAAGGATCTAAAGTAAGAGCAGCAGCAGCAAAATTGAATAAAGCTGCTGCTTTTTCTGCTGCTGCAGTCGCCGCCTTTCTGGAAATGCATTGGCACTTCTGTTTTGCAAGAAATTCAACAGCTTTAGCTATCTGCAGCAGCAAAAGTGGTGGCAGCAGCAGCAGCAGCAGCAGCAGCAGCAGCAGGCTGCGAAGCTGTTCTGTGTGCAACTCCGCACAGACAGAAGACTAAATATATAGATACTTTAGCAAACAACCCATTTATTTACTTTTAATTAGTTAATTAAACTAATTAATTAATTAATTAATTAAACTAATTAATTAATTAATTACCTGTTTATCACAGTGTGCAGCTGGTGCTTCCTGCCGTAGTGGGCAGTCCGGACTTTGAGGGTTAAGGGAACATCAGTGGCAGCAGCAAAAGACTTAATGACATTTTCAACTGCTGCTGGCTTTTCTAGCATGCAAGATCCCGCTGCAGCAGAAGCAGTTTTCTCGAAAGAAAAATAAAACTTAATGAACTTTTAAACATCAAATGCATGCAAAATGCAGCACGGAGGCAATTCATTTGTTTATTCATTTGTTAGCTTTTTATCCTTTTCTTCAAAACAAAAAAAGATGCAACAAATACACAACATACGCAAGGAGCAGTACCAGCTGCTGTTGCTGCTGCTGGCAGCAGCAGCAGCAGCAGCAGCAGCAGCAGAGGAAGCGCAGTAGCCTGAAGTTCGCCTTTCAATTGCTGCTGCATTTGGCAGTAAATCTTTCTCTTTTTATTCAAACGCAAAATATAATTAATTTCCATTTCTTTGCATTTAAAAGCAAAAGAAGAGAACGAGAGAAAGAGAGCTGTTTGCAAATTCAAATTCTGAAAAGCGGAAATTCAAGTTTTTGGCAGTCACAGCGAAACTCGGGCAAGAACAGCAAGATCTGAAGGCATTTTAACTCGGATTAAAACGCAAAAGCAATTTATATAATTGTTTTTAAATTAAATAAAAAGAATTAAATTAATTAAATAAATTAAATCCGCTTTCGTCTGCCACCTCTAAACCTGCGGTGCAGCTGGTCCAACGGGCACGCCACGTTGAGGTCTATGAAATCGCATTTCACATTTTCAGCGAGAATTTTGCCGCATCTGAACATTTTTGCAAAAAATATTTATTTATTTTCAAAAATAAAACCAATGTTTTGTAATAATAGGCAGCAAGAAGCCAAGCGCAGCAGCAGCAGCAGCAAAAGCAGCTGTACTTAGTCATACTGCAAAATAGCAGCAGCAAAAGGAACGGAGGAAACAGCAGGAAGAGCAGCAGCAGCAGCAAGTGAAGCAGCAGCTGCAAAATCAGCAGAAGAATAGCAAAAGTAATAGCAGCAACAAGAACAAAACCAGCAGCAAGAACAACAGTAGCAGCGACAGCAGCAGCTTCAGAAAAACAGCAGCAAAAATAGCAGCAGCAGCAAAAACACAGGAATAGCAGAAGAAACAGACACAGAAGCAGCAGTCACGGCAACAACGACAGCAGCAGCAGCAGCAGCAGCAAGAGCAACAGCAGCAGCAGCAGACTTGCTCAAAAGCTACATCAGGAAACCCCGCTGCGACTTGCACTCCAAATATCTTTTCCTCTTGGTGGCGCCTGCAGCATCGCAGCAAACTGTCTCTAGGATTAATGTTTGGGGTTTAGGGTTTAGGGTTTAGGGTTTAGGGTTTAGGGTTTCGGCAGGCAGCTCTCACCGCAGCAAAGACAACTCCGAGGGTTTGCCCTCTACCAGCGACTGCGCCACTGCCATTTCGCTGACCTGGCCGACACAGCAGCAGCAAAGAAAATTAATTTGTTTTATTTTAACATTTTGATTTATTTTAAATTTAAGTTGTCCATTGCTGCTGTTCATATTTGCTGCACTTGAAAAGGTTTCTTCATCCCAGTCTGCCACAGCAGCAGCAGCAGCAGCAGCAGGACAGCCCAGCAGCAACGGCAGCTGCATCCAGCAACACTGTTGCAGCTGCAAAAGAAATGGCAGCGAAAGGAGCAGCAGGAGCAGCAGCAAGAGCAGCGGCAGCAGCAGCAGCAGCAAAAGCAGCAGCAAGAGCAACGGCGGAATCATCCACAGCAGCAGCGGATCCGCGTAAATTGCACACGACGGCTTCCAACCCTCAAACCCTAGGGTTTAGGGTTTAGGGTTTGCGCCCACCGTAACATCTGCCCCTAACTTTGTGCAGAGTCTTCTAAATGGCAAATTTCCCACTGTGGTTAAAGGGGCCAAAAACGCTTTGCCCCGAACGCGCTGCGCAAATCGCAGCCGCCGTTCGCGGGGGCCCCCAAGGTCTTCTTCAATATCCACGGGCCCCACAGGGGGCCCCCCCGGGGGCCCCCCCGTAAGAACCGCTGGGGGCCCCCCCAGGGGCCCCTTCGGGGGCCCCCCTGGGGGCTCCCCCTCCCCCTTGTCGGTCTCTGGGAGCTCCTCTTTTGCTGCAGGCGGCTGGGGGGGCCCCACTTCCTCATTTGTTCCCTGGGGCCCCCGAAGGGGGCCCCCTTCCTCCTTCGCTGCTTGTGGGGGCCCCCCTTGGGGGCCCTCTGTGCGGGTCTGTTTGCCAGATTTGGATTTATTTTTGTTTTTTTTGCTGAATGTTTGTGCTGCCTGAATTGTGACAATATTAATTTCATCATTTTTATGCAACTCTTTGTAGTTTTGCAAATCCGCCACAGTCACTGGGCGGCCTTCTCTGTGCATGTTGACTCCTGCGCAAAAGATGCATTTTCCACTTTTGTATTTTTTTAATTAAAATTAATTAATCAATTAAATAATTCTTTAAATAATTGATTAATTGTTTTAAAAGAGAAAACAAAAGACTATTTCAGCGTGTCTGCGCAGCAGCAGCTCGAAACACTCTGCGGGGTTTAAAGCTGGCAGACTTGTTGCATTTTTTAGTTTTCATGATTAAAGGCAAATCTTTGAAATAAATAAATTAATTTAAAGTTAAATTAACTAATTAATTCAAAATATCTGCACTCACCCTGGGGGTCCAGGTGGCAGCCAGCAAATCGGCAGCAGCAGCCGTAGGGGCACATTCCGCATCGCGAAAAAAAAATGCAATTTTTGTCCAAGTCCGCGAGACGCGTCTGTGAGGCAGCAACAACAACTAGAACTGCCCAATTAAATACCATTTGAATTATATTTTTTATTTTTCATGAAAAAACAGAAAAAAAGAAGCGAGCCATTGCGTAACCAGCTTATTTTTCAACACTTCCCAATCTGAATTCAAATGCGTCTTCATAGTCACATCCGCGGATTCAATGTGAGAAATCAACGCCCGAAAGATCATTTTTAATTAATTAAAAACATTTTGAATTTTTATTTAACTACCTGTGAGTTGCAGGACAACAAGGTACAAAAAAGTCAGAAATTCATATTTCATTTCTTCACCCGTTTGCAATTCAAGCGCAAGTCGTGCGCGGTGTACAGACACCGTGGAGAGTACAATCAATAATACATGAATTTGTAGAACAAGAGCAAACTGAGAAAATAAATGTGGAATAAGAGTGAAATGAGTAAAGAAATTGATTTAAAAGGGAAAAGAATTAAAACTTACTTTCATAAATGCTGCTAAGTCGTGTTCCCTGCTGCACTGCGCAGAGTCGCAGACACCGCAGGCCGCCATAGCGAGGCAGAAGTTCTGCATGAAAAAAAGTTGAAAATAAAAACAAACTTCAAACAAGTTTCTCTTTTGCATGCATATGTATTCAGACTTGCATGCAAATTAATCCATTTTATGGAAACAAACAACTTCTGAATAAAAATAAGATCTCATTTCTGATTTCAACCGCTGCTGAGCTAGAAAAAGGAGAAAAAATGTAAACTTTAATTTTAATTATTCAAATATCTTCCACTGAAATAAAAAAGTATAAATGCAAATAAACAAAATCAACAAAAACATCGAAGTGTTTGAAGACAAGAAAGAAAGAACTTATGACTTGTGCAAAATAACAGAAAAAGAAACTGCTGCTGCTACTGCTATAAAGACACTGCTGTAGCTGTTGCAAAGAAACTGCTGCTGCTGCAAAGAAACTACTGCTGCCGCAAAGAAACCCCCGCTGCTATAAAGAATCTGCCGCTGCGAAGAAGAAACCGCTGCTGCTATAAAGACGCTGTTGCTGCTATAAAGAAACTGCTGCTGCTACAAAGACGCTGGTGCTGGTGCTGCTGCTGCTGCAAAGAAACTGCTGCTGCTGCAGAGAAACTGCTGCTGCTACTTGACCCACGCTGGCAGCAGACTCCAAGCTGGTTTGTTCCAAGTTTTTGTGTCGCATTGCTGCAGAGTTCAATCCCCGTCTTTTCTTGCGTTCTTCAGGGTCGCAGCTGCCAACTTTGCCAGCAGCAGCAGCAGCAGCAGCAGGTGCTGCAGAAGCAGCAGCAGCGGCAGCAGGTGAAGGCGCTGAATTGCTGCTGCTGTCTTCTTCCGCCTCCAGCAGGGGATTATCAAGGTCCTTTTCTCTTTGCCGCTTTCCCGCTTCGTTAGGAGCTGCAGCAGCAGCAGCCGCTGCTGCTGTTCCCGTATCTGCAGCGCCAGCCCTGTGCTTCTCTGCAGCGTCTGCAGCAGCAGCAAAAGAGTCCGCTGCAGCAGCAGCAGCAGACGCACAGACGGTCTGCTGCCGCTCGCCGTGGCGGCCTGCAGCAGAAGCTTCAGTTGCTGCCTGCCCAGCTGCTTCTGAATTTCCGTTCATTGCGCTATTTGCTGCAGCATTCGAATTTCTATTTGCTGTTGTTGCTGCTGCAGCAGCTTTCTCTGAATCTGCCAGCAAGTATTCCCTGATGGGCTTGGGAATTGAATTGAAATCGAAGCCTTCCTGTTTCAGGAACTCCAGGGTACGCAGAAGAGCTCGCTGCTGCAGCGGTTTTCGCGCAGCTAAATGTGTAATATTAATTCCATTTATTTCATCTTCTTTATTTTCTGCCAATTGACTCATTTGCGCAGGATTTCCTGCTGCTTTCCCGGCCAGGTTGCCGCCGCTGCTGCTCTGGCGAGCGCAAAAACTTGAATCTGCAAGCAGGTAGTCGGGAAGCTGCGGCGCCTCTCCATCTTTCGTGCAAAATGCTGCATGTGCAGCGAGAAAGCGCCGCGGAAAAGCTGAAGGCAAGTGGGAATCATTGAAGTGGACAAACGGAGGCAACTGCGGACCGTCGCACGACGCAGCTGCTGCGGTGTACGTACACCGCGCGTCGTCCGCCGCTGAGTCCACCTCCGACGAAACCTGAGGCAAATTTGTGCTCATTATCATGCAATTACAGTTACAAATTAACTTATGTAAATATATCTAGCAAGCCTTTAGGAGAAATGCGCGCACAGACGGTGCCTAACGAGGAACGGCGCAGGCGCATAGCTCTCGCGCCGCGGCTTTGCAGTTTCAGCCGTGACACCAAATAATAAATTATGCCAAAATATTTATTAATATATTCGCTTTCTCTATTTCAGAATCTCAGTCCCTGTGGGGCCCCGCTCTGCGCTGCGTCGATTGTGTTGGGGGCCCCCTGCATGCGTTCCGCTGTAGAACCTGCATCGCAGTTGAACTCTATTGCAGATTTCAGCTTTTCACAGACCGATTCATTTAATTTTAGTTATTAAATTGATGCATAAATGCTCTTCTAGTTCATTTATTCCAGGGAGCCCCCTCAAGGGTTCTCAGCTTCAGCCGAAATGGCCAATTCAGCAGCAGCTGCTGCAGCAGCAGCAGCAGCAGCGGACGAGAAGCCTTCGCCTCAAAACACGAATGCTGCAGCAGCAGCAAGCAGCAAACCCAGCCCTCCCCTTTCGTGGGCCCAGCGGGCCTCGCGGGCCTCTGCGGCAGCGGCGTCGGCGGAGCTTGCCGTGTCTGGAGGGTCCCCTGAGAAGCCCGCAGCAGCAGCAAAGTCAGCAGCAGCAGCAGCAGCAGCAGCCCCCCCAGCAGCAGCAGCAGCAGCTGCTGCTGCGGGGCCCCCTGCACTACCCCAGTTCGCCCGCGCCAGCAAAGAAAGACCCATAATTGTGCTGGACGCGGGGGCCCTGCTGCGGGTAGAGGCCCTGGAGAAGTTCCGGCACTTTTGCTGCTTCATCACAACAGCAGCAGCAGCAGCAGAAGTGCGGGAAGCAGCGGCGCGGCAGCGGCTGCAGCAGCAGCAGCTGCTGCTGCTGGCTGTCCATACACTCGAACCCTCCGCAGCAGACCTGCAGTGGGCCCACAAGTTTGCAGATATGACAGGAGATCTTCCTTTTTTGTCTCCGACAGATTTGGGAATTATTGCTCTCACTTACATGCTGCAGCGAGCCACGGGAGAGACACAAAACCTCAAACTCAAACCCCCAGCTTTCGAATTCATTTCCGAGCTGCTGCTGCAGCAGCAGCTGGACAGCAGCGCAGCCCCAGTGCATGCCTGGACGCTGCAGCAGACTCAGGGGATCCACGACGCCCGCGCGAAACCCGCAGCAGCAGCAGCAGCAGCAGCTGCTGCTGCTGCTGCGGCTGCGGCGCGGGCGTGGGGGACGCGGAGAGTCTGAGGCAGCGGCAAGGTCTGGGCAGGGACT